CGGGAGAAGTTAGTTTCCCTTAGAAGGGGAGTTGGGTGGAGCAGACAACACAGTAGTACAGCAGGGAGTTTTCCAGCAGACGGAATGGCAGGTCCAACGTAGAAAAGCATGAGGTATTTGGGGAACTGTGCGGGTGGAGGGTGGAGAAATTGGATTGTGATTAGAGAGAAAGCTGGAAAGGGAGGCTGGGGAGGAGCCAGCTGGGCTGACATTGTAGCCTTGCCAGGCAAGTCAGGACGTTCCCTCACCGCAGGGCAGGAGTGACGGTGAGAAGACTCGCTATCCCACAATGCTCGCTGCTGGTCCACTCTGGGCACTGGAGTGGGAATCCCTGGTCACTGTTGTCAGAGGTCCTCTTCCTACCCACCCCAGCCCCAGAAAAGACAGGGTCATTCTTCATTCTCTGGAAGTTGCTATACATTCCCAAGATATGAGATGACAGCACATGTCTATCCTTAGATAACTGACAAATGGATGCTCCCTATCAGCACCACCCACCAGTCAAAACATATTATCAAGTTGTACATCAATTTATTGTCAGTTCATCTTGCTAGATCATGTAAAAGTTTACCACCACTAGATTTTTTGGATGCTTTGTTATACAGCAATGGTATACTAGGAAAAGAATCCCAAACACCAAGGGTGGGAGGAATGGTGGGTCTGTTTGGGTCTGTTTCCTCCTTCATCGTGATGAGACTCTACACGGGCCACATAACTCTCAAAAGCAGAAAAAAGTCTGCTTTGAGCATGGAGATGGGAACGTCAACATGAGCTCAGGGCTCCTGAGAGGAGCTGTTCTTAAGTTGTCAAGCCCTTCCTCCGCAGAGCAGCCATGACCCGATTGACTTGGGGAGGCTGCACAGGGGGCGACCCCCAAGTCTTTCCTTCCTTTCATACACCAGCCATACTGCAAGGAGTTACCTACTGGTGACACTTTGGACCCCAGAGCTTGGGCTTCTATTTTAAAGTAGCTTTGCCCTCTCTCCAAATATCAGTTGTGTAAGTGTGTCTCCTTATCAGCACCACTGACCAGTCAAAACATATTATCAAGTTGTACATCAATTTATTGTCAGTTCATCTTGCTAAAATCGTCATTTAAAAATATTAGACCTGAAAAGAATTTTATTTCCCAAAAGAAGTAACTGAAGCCTTGGTTCTAACTCTAGCTTTTACTTGAACTTTATAGTTTCATTAACTCAGGTTCAAATCTCAGTTCTACCACTTGCTAATTTCAACCACAAATTAATCTCTTACAGCCTCCACAAATTGATCTCTTACTTACCCATCTGTAATATGGAGCTAATAATACTCATCTTTAGGGTTGCAATAAGGATTAAATGACATGGTGTATGTAAAGGGATTAAATGGTATTTGGTACCTAAAAGGTGATCAATATACATTATTAGTTTAGTGACTTCTATGATTTGGGGTGAAAAATCTGGTTGCTAAATGTCATATTTACCTTAAATCTACCTATTTCACAGTACAGTTTTGAAAATTAAACGAAACAAATTGAGTTGAAGTGCTTTGAAAAGTGTTAAACAAGCTTTAGGAATCATGAGGTCAGATATAGGAGACTGTTACAGCAAAGGCTAGAAAATGGCAGATGGAAAGAGCTGCAGTGTACAAAATAGCTGGGGCTATGACCTTAAAAATAATGAAATCAACCTCTAATTGACTTCTAAGTTTAAAAATATCAGCAAAATTATTTTGTTACTATGTCTTGTACTGTTTCTCAAATCAACTGTGATTTATTTCATTTAACAGTAACCACTAATTTTCTCAATATTTGGCACATATTTTTCATCAAGTTACAGATTGACTGGTCTATTTTCAAAGAGGCTTTCATCCCCTATGTGAGATGCTAGCTTAACATTTATAAAAGACAGTAGGAATAGTCCTCAAAAGTGAAAATAAGTCTTCATTCACATCCCCACTACAATTGACTAATATTTTTGTCTAGCGCATTGTATTAAGGTTGCTGGAGCTCTATCAAAGTTTAGCAGAAAGAGTGCTGCAAGTGATTAGTTCTACCTGCCATGGGCATGAAAATGTGAGATGACAGCACATGTCTATACTTAGATAACTGACAAATGGATGCTCTTGGTGAAAATAATTTCTAAATTAAATTCATTCTTACATCCATATGATCCAGAATGATATATTTACTAGAGGAAAAATACTAATACGAATTGTGACAGATTGTATTTTCCCAAGATGGCTACAAGAGCTCCCACCTCACAGGTTCTTGGGCAATGTGAACCTGCCATTCCCTCAGGAGGAAGGATGTGATGCCCCTCCCCTGGAATCTGGGACGGCCTGAGGTGGTCATGACCAGCTGGATAGAGCAGAAGTGATGCTGCATGGCTTCTGAAGCCAGGTGGGGAGGGAAAACATAGCTTCTGCCTGGCTTTCCTGGCTCCCTTAATCTTGGGATGCTCCTTCTTAGAAGTTAACACTGTCCTGTGAGAAACTCAAGCTACATGGAGAAGTTGTGTGTAGGCACAGCAGAACCCAGTCCCAGCTGAACGCAGACTTCAGGTCTGGGGGTCTTCAGATGATTCCAGCCCCTAGACACTGGAGTGCCTAAAAGCAGAGTAGTGTTTAAAAGTATAAACACTGTTCCCAGTTGTTCCAGTCTTCCCGGGCGAGGGCCCAGACACTGTGGAGCATATACAAACTACTTCCACTGTCCTCTGTCCAATTACTGACCCACAGGATTTGTAAGCATAATAAGATCATGTAAAAGTTTAACACCACTAGATTTTTGGGATGCTTTGTTATACAGCAGTGGTAAACTAGGAAAAGAATCCCAAACACCAAGGGTGGGAGGAGTGGTGGGTCTGTTTCCTCCTTCATCGTGATTATGAGACTCTACACGGACCACATAACTCTGAACATTTCCATTCCTTTATCTGAGATCAGTCCTCCTATCAGAACACAAAAATGAAGTCAGGAACCAACACAGACAGAGCTTTCACAACACAGCAAACAGATTGTTACTCCTAACTCGCCTGTCAGCTGGAGAGCAGCACTCTGAAACACAGACGACAGGCTTTGGGAAATAGTTATTAGCCCACACCCACAAATCCAACCACAGATCTAGGCAGAGCTTCCACAAGGCCCCACCACCTCCCTCTTTTTACCCTGAACTTTTAGCTCCCAAATCTATAGCCAAGTGAGGTCAGGGAGAGCAACTGAATTATGATCAGGGACAAGGAAGAAATCTGTAAAGTCATTCCAGAAGTCACAGACCTGGGAGAGTCTGCAGCTGATTCAACAGAGGAGGAGGCAGAAAAGGGTCATGGAGAGTGAGTGCGATTCAGGGTCAAAATTCCACTTCAACCACATGGTAGCTGGGAACCTGGGGCAAATTACTTGAGCTGAGCTTCAACTGCCTCAACTCTAAAATGGGAATAATAAGGTGTCACTTGAAAAGTTCTTGGAAAGCATCTAGCCCAACATCTGAAACTGAAAATGTACTTGGAAAACTTGGATTCCAACAGTAGGTATCACTCATGCAACTCACAAGCCACCTACCCTGTACAGCCTTCACTGTGCTGGACTTCCTTCCCTTGGCTAGTCTTACAGGCAGCAGGTGGGCAGTAACTGTGTCACACACTCTTTTCTTCCCATATGCCATCTCACACAGAATGTGGGTAGTACATCCATATTCCCTGGCTGACCCATAGACTCGGGTATCAGGATCCTGGCGGGAGGTAGGGAGGTTAGTAGTGGAGACAACAATGCCAAAACTAACAGCCTCTGGCACCCAACGCACATAGTATGACCCTTCAGTAAGTGAAACACAGGGCATTTGCACATGTTTCTTCAACCATTGGAAGTAGCCAGTAGAAGAGGCAATACAAGGTATCTGTAGGTCCTGCAGGGCTGAGCTGTGCCGGCTGGGGACATGCCGTCACTCTCCAGTGGCATGACTGTGGGCAGTAACTGGACCTCATCTGTGAAATGGGAATATTCAGAGTACCCACCTCACAGTTACTGGGAGCATTTAAAGAGTATACAGAAAGCACTTAGAACAATGCCTGGAACTTAATGTTCAGTAATATAATAATAATGTTCAATACTCATCTTCATCTCATCATTATCAAGGCTCAGTTCTGTTTGCTGGGCTGGACTCCCTTGTTGAATAGCAACATTGGAAATCTCACCTCAGATAAAGACCTGATCACCTGGAGTGGGGATTCCATGCTGGGTGGGCGAGGCTGCCTGTCTGCAATAGTCTGCATGGCAAGGTGACTGTGTGGAAATGCCTTGCAAACCATCAAATGCATTACAAATATTAGTGTTAGTTTTTGTTTCCTTGACACTTTAAAATCTAGGAACAATATTACAAGCACCATCCTAGTCCCCACTTACTTGACAACCTACCATGAACTAGCTGCTGTGCTCACTACTTCTCACAAGTCCACTCACCTAATTTCCTCAACAACACTATAATGTTGGAACTATTTTCATCCACATTTTAGAGAAGACAAGAATGATATTCCAAGGTGCTTAAGGTCTCAAGTGGGTTTCAAACTCGGGTCTGTTGGCTACCAAGGCCTATGCTTGTAAACACTATGTTACACACATGGATTGAATATAAATGTTCTAAGGTGAGTAAGATGCCTATGGGCCCAAGGTATCCAGCCAAATGCTGGTAGCCCTGCTCTTGGCATCACGGTATCTCATCACCACAAGGCACGGGGCAATGCTTCGTTATTTGAGATTGCCTGAAAGTTATCTTTCTTTCCTTCATTCCAAGTTAGCCATGCCAGACTTACTGTATCTACCTCAGATGGCTCCAGGGCTCAGTTGACTCTGCCAAGATTTAAAATTATAGTTCTTGAGTGTAAGGATTTTAAACCTAGCTAGGTGTTTTTTTTTCCAAGCTAGGATTTCAAAACAAAATACAATACCCTCTTAACTCCTCAACTTAAAAATCTTTTTTCTTTCTAAAATCAAAAGAGCATTTTGGAAAAAAAGACATCAAGAAATAGTAGCTTATTTTTCTTTAATACCCCAAATGATTTGTGTGAATGGGACTACATTGCAAAACAAGGCAGAAACCTGACAAGCACGTCTCACTCTGAGAAAAGATCTGATTGGAGAGAAGGCACAAGAAATGGCATTTTGCAGGATTACATGTAAACAGTAAACGGGGGGAAAGTTTCACGAAGGAGAAAGGAATTTGCATTGCCACTTCATTGGCACATCCTGGGGATGAAAAATGGCCTCATTCGCTGATAATCAGCCTCCCTCTTACACTGTTGTATAAACAGAACCTGGCCCTGAAGAGACAAATACTCACACAGCAGCAGGGTGAAAGGAAGGGTCTCCTGTTAACAGAGGCCCCTGGGGCCTTTCCCTTTTTCCCACAGGGCTCCCACAGGCATCAAGGGGCAGTGCCTCACTGATGTGCCATTCATCAACAACTGGTGAGTGGAGATGCTGAAGCCTAAAAAGCCTGAGTGAAATATGCTTGGTTTCCGTCCATGTTCTTCAATCAGATGACTGGGCAGGTCCTGGGGTGGAGGGACGTACCACATCTGGCCTGTCTTCTTAGGTGATAACGGTAGGTGCCGTGCGCCCCGTCCTCTCCTGGAGCTGTGACACCTTCAGGGCAATGGAAACGAGGGGGGCCAACATGACCTGAGGGAGACACAGAGAGAAGAACCTTTCCTATCACTTTCTCTTGACACAGATCCAGCCCCAACGATGCCTCTGAGCTCCAGACTGCACGTCTGCCTGCCTACTCCCAGGTCCCATGGGCTACCCCCACTCTACAAGTCTAAGCGTAAAGACACGTCTTCTCCCTAAAACCTAATTCCAGCATCCCCCACTTCAGTGAATCAACACCACCAACCATCATATAAAGCTAATGAAAAACTAGGGGTTATTCCTGACACCTTCTTCTCCACATTCCCTTGTCCAATCTATGAGCAAGCCCAAGTGGCGATTACTTCCCAAACTCTCTCAGCAGCATCCAGTGCTTTCCCTTTCAGTGCTACGGCTTTTGCTAAACCAGCAGTCTCTTTCCTATCTGTATCAACGAGGCTTCTACTTCTCTTTCTGCACCCTCCACTTCGTTTCCCACACCGTTCCCAAAGAGCATTTTCAGTGTGCAACAACTCAACTCTCCCATCTACCTCTCACTTAAGAGGAAAAAAGAAAACTAATTCTTCTGTTGCCTAAGTAAATAAATGTTTTTTATTATAAAAAAAAATGGAAACTACTTATCTAGTTGAACTTCACATTTTACAGATGAGGAAACTGATCCCCAAAGAGGTGAAGTGATTTGACCAACCGACTCAAGGGCAGAGCCAAGAGTAGTATGTTTCCTATTGCCCACTTTTGCTTTCCCACTCCTAAATCTCTACCAGCCCATTATCCCTGGGTGAAGCTGGAGAACCAACCCCATGTGCTGACCACACCACATGCCACTCTTCCTGGGAGGCCAATGGTCCCAAACATGCTGAGGCTGAGGCCCAGCAGCTCCAGAGTCAGGGAGGCATCTCTGGAATGGTGGCACACTGAGGCTGCAGGCACAGCATGCCCTTCAGTGCCCTCCCACCTCCCTCACCATCCTGCTCCCACTCCTGAGGACTATGGCTCAGAAGAAGCTCATCTCTATTTATTCTTTGTTATCTATTATGAGCCAGGCACCAAGGTGCAAAGAAACACAACTTCCTCCTTTTCCTCTTACTCTGTTACTCTGCGGGTTGACAATGCAGACCCCATTGTGTTTTGTTTTAAGTTTTAGGAACACCTATAACACAACACGGATCTGGTGGTGACTGAAGCTGGAGTCTGGCCACTGGAAAAAATACAAAGGCAAAGCATCCTCTTATCTCCCTCTTTTTGTAATAAAAACAACCGTAAGAGCCACTCTTTCTCAAAAGCTATCCTGTGCGCAGGCCCAGTGTTTAGAATTTTATCCATTGTCTACTTGAATCCCTACAACAGGTCTATGAGGTATTATTCTGCCATTTTACAGACAAGGAAACCAGGGCTCAGAACATCAAAACAATTCACCCGGGGACACACAGCTCCTAAGTGACAGGAACCGAATTTAAAACAAGATCTCTCTAACTCCAAAGCTTATGCCCAAAATCACTACTAGGGGTTTCCAAATGAGGTTCACAGGATTTTAGTCAGGTGTTAGAAGAAAAAAGGCTTTGTGGAAAAAAAGGATGACGAATGCTACTTAAACAGGCATCTTTACTACAAGTTTTCTCAGAGCCTTTACAGCATGTGGCGTCAATCATGAGGATGGGACTAACAGCACATTTCCTAAACCTTTCTGGGCTATGGCACTTGGGTTGGGAGGGTCTGTCAAGACGAGTGTGGAGCCCGCATGTGAGGGAGCTCCCCCCAACACGGAGCTCCACTGCCTCCCTTGGCTCCTCCCCTTGGGGGGCTGTCCTCCGAGTTCTGGTTCCACCCTGGCTCCCAAGGTCCCTCCTCACTCTGATAATACTTCTGGACAGTCTTTAGGGAGCAGAGAACCCAGTAGCAAGCCCGCAGGTTCTTCCATAAGGATGCTTCTTCCTGGGTCATGAAACTGCCACCCGATCCGTAACAGGTTTGTGTGCTCCCAGGGCAGGCAGACGGACCAAACAAAGGGGCAAATGCTCAGTGACAGGCCAGAACACTAGACGAGGGGTTGATTTAAAGATGAGTTATCCTTAATCTGCCACTTACCAGGTGTGTGAATCTATTAACTGTTGCTCAACCTCCTATGCCTCAGTTTCCTTATCTGTAGTAGGGACAAGAATAGAGTCTACCTCATTTGAGAATTAAATGAGAACAGCGCCATTTGGGTGATGGGTTCAGAATGGAACTTGACAAACAAAAAACCCTTAGATGACAAACAGCTGCTATTGTTATGACATACAGACGGCGACATGGGGGAATGGGCCATGATGACACAGGCTCCATGAAGCCACTATCGTTCCCTCCAACAGAAGGAACTAATTAGAGCACAGTGCTTGGGCATTACTTGAGGGTCCTGGTAGATCTTGGCGATGTCCTTCTCATAGCTGTCAATGTACAGTCGGATGGTGGCTCCCGCACTCCCGGTACCACTCAATCGAAAGATGATGCGTGAGCCATCCGCAAAAATGAGCCGCAAGCCCTGGAAAAGACAAGTAGATGTTTCTCCCACATGCTGGAAGGGAGACTGAAGGCTGACAAATTACCAGGGCTCCATTTGAAGATCTGATTTCATCCACACTTGATCAATGGGAGAATTAGATCCTTGATAAACAGGAGCAGTTAAGCCCAGGAGTCTGCAGTGCAGACCTGTCACTGCATCCAGTCAGGGGGCTGGGCCATGGGGGCGGCTTTCCCAGGGTCAGGTGGGCCTACCGTCCCCTCGCCTCCCCACATCCCTGTGATGTATGGACAAACCATTCCAGTGTGAAGCTTAATAGTAAGTAAATTAAATAAATAAGCTGCTAGATGCAGAAATGTGATCCCCAGATCAGGAGGAAACATGGACAGAATGGGCTGAAACAAGAGCAGAAGAGGTTCCAGGTGGATGAGAACTCTCCACAAAACACTGGGAAAGTGCCTCAAAAACAGGACAGCAGGTGGCACGCCCCTGATGGCAGAGGCCAACTATTCCAGGCCTGCCCACAGGACCTGGAGACGATCTCCTGTAGATGCCTGGGACTGAAAGCAGGTCCCTGTCGCTGCAAGGCCAAGCCCAGCGCCCTCTCCTTTCCTTCCCTGGCAGCATGTCTCATCCTCAACTTTCCTCTTGCTTCAAGGGACTTCAGGCTGGGGCCTCTTAGATAGATACCCCATGGGCTGAGGTGAGAAGGCTGGGCAAGAGTTATCTGGTGACCATCAGGCTTCATGAGTCTGTCAATTCTCCCATAGAAAAGAAGAACTTCTCATCAAGCCAAAGAGCAGCCAGAAGGAAAGACACTGCTCATCTATTACTCCTCACCAATGCTCCCGGCCCCTGTGTGTAACTGTGCCACTCAGCACAGCAGAGGGTGTGCGCAGAGCACATCCCCAAGGCAGTTACAGAGGGGAGGAAAAGGCAACTCCCACTCACCATCCCTCACTTTCTATAAACATACCAGGGCTGGTCTCCCACAACCTCAACTTGAAGCTTCTAAATTCTTTTCACTTGATTTCAGATGCTAGATTTACTTCAGAAGGTTTTCCCTCCTACCTGGTCTTCCATTTAAATGTTCAGACTTTCTAATTATAGGACATGGAGGCGCTGACCCCTTCCTCACAGAATGCAGAGAGCAGTGGCCCTGCTCCAGCCCCCACCCTTCCCAGGCACACTCAGCCCCTCCTGCCTCCCGTAGATGCTGGGTGCCCTGCGGAATTGGGCTTACTTTTCTGAAACATCCCTTGTCTCTGAAGGCTGTACTACAAAAACTTCTGCTCCGCTCTGCCATCCCCTGGGCCCACCTCTCCTTTTCTATACCAACCCCCACTCCACCAAGGCCTCCCTTTTCCTAATTATCTCAGACGTCATTTACAATTGTCACATGAGACCCAGTATTGTCACAGACCGGGAAAAGGCACAGGGAAGAAAAGCCACTGTGCTTGCATTTTGAGGGGGAGAGTCCAGGCACTGGGGTCACTGTGGCCATGCTCTATTCTCCAGAGACAGACTTCAAATAATCCCACAGCCCTTCTCCTTCAAAGCCTGTTGGATGCCATGGGAAGGACCAGGCCAAAAATCTGGATCAGCAAAAAGCAGACTGGAGGCCTGTAACAGAATCTTCATCTCCCTCTTTATTACCTGTTTCTAAATTAGTGGCAATGAATCCACTCTGTGACAACAGCAGCACCAGAGGAGAAAGGACTCTGGGTGCTGGGTATTTCTGAGAAGTCTGAAAAAGGGCTGGCCCAGGCCACAGCCTTGGGTGTCCGACACCCAGTGAGGGGAATGCTAACAGCTCTGCTTCTACCCATACACGGTCCAGGTTCTCCGCTGGGATGTCTTGCTATACCTACTGTGTTAGCACTGGCTGCATGCCACGGGCTGCAGATCGTAACAGCTAACATTTCTAAGTCTGTGAGTGGCCTACCTATTTTTTCCTCCTTTTCAGAAATTAGAACATATCAGAGAAATGCCCGTGATAATGTTACTTGCATGCTGGCGTTCTGCTATAATTTCTTGAGTGAATAGAGGAAGGGTATTTGACATCTAAGGCAGAATTCTTCATGTTTTTTAGATTTGGGGCTCCTTTCTGCACACACACTCAATGTAACATCTTGCAGAGAATTCTGGACGCTTCCCAAATCCCTCTGGAATCTAAGCATCCCAGGATGAGGGTGCAGGGAGTGCACAGAATCAGAGCAAAACCCATTTTCCCCAGAGCACATGTGCAAGTCTTATGTAACTCGGCCAACAGCCAGCTGAGAACAGCTACCCTAGGAAAACAGCACGGCAAAGGAGAAATGATCAAGTGGCCTTTTTCTTTCTTATCTCGAGATTTCAAAGATGAAGCTCTGAGGCCTCTCTCCCAAGTACACATAAATCTGTTCCTACCTGATTTCTCGAAATGCTTCCGTCCACTGGATCACTGTACTCAAAGTTATCAACTTTCTCCACGGTGTAAACTTTGTCACCCACAGAAAACTGTTTCCCCACAAAAGAGCGATCAGATATCAGGGCCTCCAGGTCCTTCATCATTTTGTTGGCACCCTCGGCTTCCACCTCCTCATAATCGTACCTGGAAGATGTCACGAAGTTGAGGCCCATGCGTGACTTCAGATCACACCAAGGTCAGCACTTTCTCCACCATTTGTTTGGCCCTCCCCTGAAACCTGCTAGCTTCAGAGGAAGCTGGCAATGAGGTGAGCTTGTCAGCCTCCGAGGTGGGAGCAGGAAGGGTTTGGAGGATTTCAGGGACAGAGCTTCTGAATAAACAGACAACTCCATTTTGGCTTTTGTACAGAATAAACCTCTTAGAAGCTTCAAAAGCTTTTGAGAGACACCTTCTACCATTTAATCAGCACATCCTGAGAAGGTAGAATTAAACGCAATGCTATCTCTAGAGAAGCCAGCATGAAGGAGCACTCAACTCAGCTTCTTCTCTCGCAAACTCCTAGAGCTTCTCTGAGGTAAATGCTGATGCTGCTCCCAGTCTGGGACCTGCCTGAGGCTGCTGAGATTTTGGCAATGGAGAGTCCCAGTCTCCACAGGAGTTTCCTAATGTAAGGCCAAGTTTTTATGGGCCAGACAAAGGAGCCAAACCCTTTACATCAGAAACCCCTTCCTCCTTTTACTGGGAGTGGATTCTTGCCCAAAGAGCTTTCGGTTCACCTTGAAGAGACCTGATGTGGATGCAAAAGGGTCAAAAAAAAAAAAAAAAAAAAAAAAAAGTGCATTACAAAAGAAATTATTTGTTATTTTTACTCCAGTAATTGTTCTTCACTTCTTTCTTATAAGGTTAAAGAAAACCACTTTTCCAGGTGGTTTTTCTTGACCTAGGGGCACACACCTTCATGAGAGAGTTAGCTCAAGATAGCATAGTCTATATTTATTTGCAATAGTGGAACAAATATGATATGTGCAAGATGATACCTCTGAGACATGAGAAATACCGGGGAATTAAGGCCAACCTATTCTTGCTCCAAGATTCTATGAATCAAGGACAACAGTCCCCTTAATCCTGAAGTCAGCTTGGTCCCCCAATTAAAATTATAAACAGCAAGAAATTACAACCAGGTGTTTGTGGTTTACATCTGTGACCTTTGGTGTTCAAGGGAAATGTTCTATAAATCCTAAGCACAGAGGGGTATGATGGAGAGGATCTGGGCTTTGGAATTACACAGAACAAGCTGTGAGTCCAGCCTCTGTAGGCCACTAGCTGTGCATCTGTGGGCAAGTTGCTGCATCTCTCTGAATCTCAGTTGCCTCATCAATAACTGTGTTGAGGCCAATGTGAAACAATGCATGCTAAAGTGTTCATCACTGTTGTTAAATAAATGGAGGATAGAATGGAATCTTCACCAACCACGAATGCAGGTTCTAAGGACTTTTATTTATAATACTTCGTAGGCAGTCATTTGAATTTAGTAGAAATACATTAAAATAGTTTTTTCATGGAGACTTAACTGATTTAAGAGTGACCCTTTCTCTGAACAAACCTTCCTAACCTTATTCCACTCTGGCTATCACTCACTTGTTAACTCATTTATCTATTCAAAGCATAATTATGCAGTATCACTATAAGTTAGGTGTTTGGTGATACTACAGGGCACAAAAACAGACATGGTCCTGCCTTTGTGATACTCTAGGCTCTAGAGAATTCATGACTGCTGTTCTGAATACCTAGGTTTTTCTGGTTTTTAGGAAGGAGAGCTTCTGGCCTTGCTTCCCAAGGATACTATGCAGCACCACATCTCAGTTATTACTTATACCTCCCTCAAAAGAGTAACCTGAAGGAGGAAAACAGCAATGACCTTGTCCAAAGTGGTAAGAGGATTATGATGAAGGAGACCTAGCTGTTTAAAGCTGAACTCTTTCTTGACCATCCAGAGACCATGGACTATTAAATCTGCAATATATTTTTTAAATTCTCTGGTCTAACTCATCTATTTTATAGAAAAGGCAACTGATGTCCAAAGAAATTATATCTATATATTTCTTATAGAAACAATTTATCTAATACCCTTTTCTCATGTTACCTTTCCATAATTAGAATAATGTGGTCCAGAAAAATTCTGCTAGATTTTTATACTTAGTGGGGAAAAGGCAAATTGGAATTAGTAATAAGCACTCTTGGAAAAAAAATATTGAAGGTTCTTAAAAATAAAAGTATGCATGGTAAAGGAGAATTACTAAGTATTCTAAGTATTACAGAACTACTAAGTATTTTGTTTATTGTTACATCCCCACTGCCTGGCAGAAAGTAGGTACATAGTCAATATTTATTGAATCAATGAATGAAGTATTGACAGGTACACAGTCTTTGGGGACCTATTTTAATGAGTCAAAAAAAGTTAATTTAGATTACATAATTATTTTCATAATATCAGAAAAAAATTTACATACTTTCAGTGCCCCAGAGTTTATAAAACACTTTCAGGCTAACATTTCATTTAATCCACTTAATAGCCAGACTATTATTTCCATTTCCACAAATGAGAAAACTGAGTACAGGGGTTAAATGACCTGCCAATCTACTAAGGGGCAGAAATAAAATTCTAATGCATTCTTCTGAATCCAAATCCAATGCTATTATCATATCTACTTGCTAGGCACATTTAAAAGACTTACAAAACATTTACTGTCTTAAATATGTTGACTACATTGTTTAAGCCTCATTCTTTATGGCTAATATGAAAGTTGACTTCATCTCAACCCTGACTAAATTATTTTAGAAATCCCCAATCGGTAGAGGCTGCATGAACTGGGTTCTATGATCACTTAAGACAGTGAGGAAATTATATGCATGAGAATTCCCTCTGCCCACCTCCCCATCCTATCTCCATGCCCCAGCCAGGCTGTCACTTACCTGGTGAAAAAATTCCGGCCATATTTTTGCCAGTGATCTTTGAGAATGTCCTCCACACTCTGTCTGCGGGTGGCGAGAATGGAGAGCCAAGCGAGGACTGCCCAGAGTCCATCCTTCTCACGGATATGGTCAGAACCTGGTCAGGTGACAGCAAGCAGCTATGAGAAACCCGGTTTCTCCAAAATACTTGAAAATAAACTCATACACACCCAACCAAAACATCGTAAAACTTTACTGAGGAACTTGAATACATAGAAGGACCCACATAATGAATAAAGTATCCTTGGGAATAAAGCAGCATAATATGGAAAAGCAGTTGATGCTTCCCAATGTAATTTAAAAATTTAAGCAAATGCCAATAAAAATGTCAGTGGAATAACTTGGTGGAACTTGATATACCAATTATAAAGTATGAATGTTTGCAGGAAAAAAATATTAACAAAAAGCAGACAAACATAACTATTACAAATTTTCAAAATTAAAGTAGTCTGGTAGTTTAATAAAACAAAAGAGCACCTAGAAAGAGACCCAATCACATATGAGACTTGAATATATGATAAAGGTATCATCATTTCAAGGCTGTAGGAAAAGAAAGGGTTACTTTTTAAATAGTATTTGGATAATTAGCTAAACAGCTGGGGAAAATAATCAGTTTTTGTTCTCTATATAGCACCTACCAAAAGTAACTTCAGATGGATTATACACTCAAATGTAAAAATTTAAACTCTTTAAATACTAGAAAATACATACAAATTTTTAAAATCTTGAAGATAGCAAATACATGTAAATTTAGATTTCATAAAGAAAAAATACTATGTATATTGATTTAAAAATTAGATTTCTATCAGCAAAACTACTATAGATAAAATTAAAAGGTCATTGGCAATCTTTAAAACAAATCTGCAATATAAAGATGTTTAACGCACTCATTATAGAAAAAAAAAACCTGATATATTAATAAGAAAAAAGCAAAACCTCAATAGAAAAACAGGCCAAGGATATAAATAAGCATTCACCAAAGAATAAATACAGACACCTGATTAACATAATAAAGAGCTAGCATTAGACAAATTAAAGTAAAACCACAATAAGAAACTGCCACTTGCTTGACAAATGGCCACAGATTGAAAAATGGTAACACATAGTATCAGGGGAGGTATAAGGGAAATGAGATTCCAACATGCTGCTACCAGGATAGGTACAATCGTTCTGGAGAGCAATTTAGAAAAAACATTAAAAATAGACTTGCTTGAGGATCCAGAAACTCCAACTCTAGAACATATTTCTTTAACCAATAGATAGTTAAATAAACTATGGCACATCTGTCATCTGCTAAGGTCCTTGCTAAAATCTTTACCAAAAATAGCAAATTGGCTCCTTTGGATGTGCTTATATGCATGGAGATCCTTTTTCAAGAGACTGATATGGAACACAACTCTCATTTTTTACCTTAACTTTCTTATTCTAAATAAAACAAAACAAAACAGGTGCTATCCAGTGCTACTTTCTGATTTCCAAATGGTACTCAATATAATCCCTCTCTAATAGTGCTCTGCATATTATCATGCCTTGAGTTCTTTACATGCCTGTCTGCCCTTCTTGACTTCTGACTGGGTTTTACTCTTCTTAGAACTGTCAACAGAATCTATAATGCTGGCTATTTAATAGGCATGAGGTAAGTTTGTTTCCTTTCCCTCTTCATTCTTTTAGACCCAGCTCAAATGTCCTCTCCTATCTGAGACTATCTGAGACTAGCTCTCAGCTTCTCTAGGCAGCTATGAGCTAGGTTCTTTCTTCTCCTATAGTAACCTGCTCAAAAAAAAAAAGGTGCAATACCATGCTCCTTGAGCCTCAGTCTTCTATTTGTAAGCCTTTCAACTTACTAACCATGTATTTCTTGGAGGCATGTCTTACTTCCCCTTGTAACTAAGTATGGGGATGCACAGTACATGGAATAAGGAAAATAATTAATTGTGAGGGAGTGCATGAATGAATTAATCAGTTAATAGATTCCAATATTTTCTATTTCTCTTTTTAGTTCATAAAAACACAATTCTTTTTCAAAATATTTTTCTCTTCAATAAGATACTGCTCTTAGAAAAAACAGTTCTCAGAACCTGGACACTGGCAAAATGAGATACTTGGCAATACTTTTAGCACTTTATGAAACACGTTTTGGAAATGTTTACCAAATTTTACTATCTATGGGTTTTTATTTGCCTTTACCACTATTTCAAGGAACAGAAAGTTAGCTCTCTGGCTCTTACAGCTTTTGCAAATGGTATGTTTTGGCAATCGTTCATCCAGAGCAGCAAGATTCTGGCAGCTTCCCCAGTATATTGAGAATTCATGGCAAAAGTATATAGCTTGGACTTATTTGTCTGTGTTCCCCTGGGTTTGGTTTTTTTTTTTTTTTCTCCTTTCCTTTTTCTTTTCTTTTCCTTTTTGTTTCTTTTTTTCAAGGCTAGAACTGAAAGCATAGGGGGCAGTGATCCTTTGTCCTTTTTTTGCTACAAGTAAAGAATTTGTTTTTTTCTCAAGTGGAAATAAAAATAAAATCTAAAATCTTACCCAACTCTGACCAAGTTACTTGGAAATAACTAGATCAAACACCTAATAATGTAAACAAAATATATTCTATTTCATTTGCACAATCCCTAGTCTCTTTGGAAATTCTGATTAATCTCACTAATCACCCTGGATATATCAAAACTCTAAGAAGGAGACTTAACAACATGCACCTAAATAATCAATGAATCAATGACCAAATTAAAACGGAGATCAAGCAATATATGGAGATAAATGAAAACAACAGCACAATGCCCCAACTTCTGTGGGATGCAGCAAAGGCAGCAAAGAGGAAAGTATATAGCAATCCAGGCCTATTTAAAGAAGGAAGAACAATCCCAAATGAATAGTCTAAAGTAACAATTATTGAAACTGGAAACAGAAGAACAAATGAGGCCCAAAGTCAGCAGAAGGAGGGACATAATAATGATCAGAGAAGAAATAGATAAAACTGAGAAGAATAAAACAATAGGAAAAAAATTAATGAAACCAGGAGCTGGTTCTTTGAGAAAAAAAACAAAATAGATAAACCCCTATCCAGACTTATTAAGAGAAAAAGAGAATCTACACACATCAACAGAATCAGAAATGAGAAAGGAAAAATAAACATGGACACCACAGAAATATAAAGAATTATTAGAGAATGCTATGAAAATCTATATGCTAACAAACTGGATAAACTAGAAGAAATGGACAACTTTCTAGAAAAATACAACCTTCCAAGGATGACTCAGAAAGAAAGAGAAAATCTGAACAGACCAATTACCAGCAACAAAATTAAATTGGTTCAAAAAACTACCCAAGAACAAAACCCCTGGGCTTTGTTCTTGAAAAACTGAGTTTTATCAAACATTTAGAGAAGACATAATACCCATCATCCTTAAAGTTTTCCAAAGAGTAGAAGAAGAGGGAATACTTCCAAACTCATTCTATGAGGCCAGCATCACTCTAATATCAAAACCAGGCAAATATGCCACAAAAAAGAAAACTACAGACCAATATCCCTGATAAACATAGATGAAAAAATATTCAACAAAATATTAGGAAACTGAATTCAAAAACACATCAAAGGATCATACACCATGATCAAGTGGGATTCATCTCAGGGATGCAAGGATGGTACAACATTTGAAAACCCATCAACATCATCCACCACATCAACAAAAAGAAGGACAAAAACCACATGATCATCTCCATAGATGCTGAAAAAGCATTCAACAAAATTCAATATCCATTCATGATAAAAACTCTCAACAAAATGGGTATAGAGGGCAAGTACCTCCACATAATAAAGGCCATATATGATAAACCCACAGCCAACATCATACTTAATAGCAAGAAGCTAAACACTTTTCCTTTAAGATCGGGAACAAGAAAAGGATGCCCACTTTCAGTGCTTTTATTCAACATAGAACTGGAGGTCCTAGCCATGGCAATCAGACAAAACAAAGAAATAAAAGGCATCCAGATTTGTAAGGAAGAAGCCAAACTGTCACTGTTTGCAGATGACATGATATTGTACATAAAAAACCCTAAAGAATCCACTCCAAAACTACTAGAACTAATAACTTAATTCAGCAAAATTGCAGGATACAAAATTAATACACAGAAATCTGTTGCATTCCTATACACTAACGATGAACTAGCAGAAAGGGAAATCAGGAAAACAATTCCATTCACAATTGCATCAAAAAGAATAAAATACCTAGGAATAAACCTAACCAAGGAAGTGAAAGACCTTTACCCTGTAAACTACAAGACACTCTCGAGAGAATTTAAAGAGGACACTAATAAATGGAAATTCATCCTTTGCTCTTGGGTAGGAACAATTAATATTGTCAAAATGGCCATCCTGCCTAAAGCAAGCTACAGATTCAATGCAATCCCTATCAAAATACCAACAGCATTCTTCAACGAAGTGGAACAAATAGTTCTAATATTTGTATGGAACCACAAAAGACCCTGAATAATCAAAGCAATCCTGAGAAGGATCTCGCTTCCCAACTTCAAGCTCTACTACAAAGCCACAGTAATCAAGACAATTGGGTACTGGCACAAGAACAGAACCATAGACCAGTGGAATAGACTAGAGAGCCCAAATATAAACCCAAGCATATATGGTCAATTAATAGACGATAAAGGAGCCATGGATATACAATGGGGAAATGATAGCCTCTTCAACAGTGGTGTTGGCAAAACTGGACAGCTACATGTAAGAGAATGAGACTGGAATATTGTCTAACCCCATACACAAAAGTAAACTCAAAATGGATCAAAGACCTGAATGTAAGTCATGAAACCATAAAACTCTTAGAAAAAAACACAGGCAAAAATCTCTTAGACATAAACATGAGCAAGTTCTTCATGAACATATCTCCCCAGGCAAGGGAAACAAAAGCAAAAATGAACAAGTGGGACTATATCAAACTAAGAAGCTTCTGTACAGCAAAGGACATCATCAGTAGAACAAAAAGACATCCTACAGTATGGGAGAATATATTCATAAATGACATAAGTAATAAGGGGTTGACATCCAAAATATATAGAGAGCTCACACACCTCAACAAA